TGAGTTGGGGTTTTTTTTTTTTTTTTCTTTTTTTGGAGAGGTTTTTGCTATAGGGCACGTGCGCTCGCCACACAGACAGACAGAGAGACAGGGAGACAGAAAACGAGAAATCACCCCCCGGGGGGATGGCCATGCTGCAATCCCTTCTCCTCCAGTCTCCTCTCGGGATCTTGGGCACATGCACACACATGCCCGGCATGAATTTAAGCCACCAGGTCCAGGACTCGAACCGCGGTTGACTACGTGGGAGTCCAGCGACATAGCCATTACGCTAACTGCTGGTTCCAATGACATGGTTTTGACCGAACTCACTAACTCTAGAAGAGCCGCCTGGCCCAAGGAACCTCAAGGCCATGGCGCCCAGAGACTTCAGACGAAAGCCTGACCCTGGGCGGTACAGAGCCGCAGAGAGAAGTGCTCCAGGGTGCCGAGGGCTCGGCCTTTCCGTACCCCTTCCCTCTGCACCTCCGGACAGGCGGACACTGTAGGCATTGCAGGGAGAGAGGATGAGGGCTGTCAGTCTCAGCCATGGCTGGGAAACACGGTCTCCACTTACAGGTTCCATCCGGAAGACAGGTACTCCACAGGGCCCAGGCCAGCCACCTTCAGGAACAGCTCCACCCCGTAGACTGTGGGCGGGAGGAGGGGTGAGCGGCAGCGCCCTCCCTCTCCCCTCCCATGCCTGGCCTGGCTCAGCTTCTTCTTAGAGGTTCCCCCTAGCTGCCAGTCTCCCCTGCAGGCCGCACGCCCTCTGGACTGAGCCAACGTCACGGCAGGCCCCACTGTGAGGGCACGCGCTCTGCAGAGGGCCGGTCGCAGATGACGGTCAATCAGGGCAACTGCTTAGGACACAGACCTCCCCCTACACCCCCTGCTTTGGGAACTGCCCAGCCATCTGTCCACCCGCAGGCGCTTCCTGAGCACCTGTTCCATGCCGGGCAGTGCAAAGGGCACCGGGCTGCAACAGGGGCCCACACCACACAGAGCCTGCAGCCCAGACCTTGCGGTCTAAGCAGGAGGAGGGACATGTGAACAGGGACCGGGAGTCTGGCGTTCAGGGCTGTTCCAACCTCACAGGATGCTGGGGAGAGTCAGACAGAGAGGTGGGGCACAGGGCAGAGAGCACAGGCCAGGACACAACCCGTGCAGAGGCCCAGAGGTGAGAGTGTACTAGAGAGGGAAACGCTGCCTGGGGAGGCTGGAGTGGCCAGGTACACGCTGGCCAGGCGTGAGTCCCACCTCAATCTGAACTGGGCCTGGAGGGCAGTGGAGGGCCACAGGAAGGTTTCAAACAAGGGAAGAATGGAATCATGCCACTTTTCTGCTCCATCCTTCTAAGCTTCTAGGGAAGAGCCACAGGATTCTAAAGCAGATGAAAGGTCTCCTAGCCTGTGGTGAAGACAAGCAATCGGCCACTTACTGGTAAGAAAAACAAGGTAACTCCAGGGCACGTGCTTGGAGAAAAAGTTCCCACCTGTAAGACGGAGAAACAGCAGCTTAAGAGGCAAGTCAGGCATGCCAAGATGTGGCCACCTCCTCACTGGGGCTCACCTTTCAGCATGAACGTCTCCACGAGGATCCAGACCCCATTGACAGCCACCACCAAGTCTGAAACGGACAAGCCATGGAAGACAGGGAAAAGGCATGTGGGCTCAGAAATCTACAGGGCCCAGCTCAGCGCCTGGGGAATTCTGGGGGGCAGAGAACAGAACTGCTCCACATACTCATTTGAAAGGGTATTTCTTTCTGCTCACTGCTTTTATTACAAGATCTAGGTCAATCAGTGGTTTCTCTTAGAAAATAGCTCCAAATTTCTAAAAACATCCTCTACGCTACTTTAGGATGTTGGTTAAGAGCTATCTTGACAAACTCTATATGTTATTCCAAGTTGGTGTCAAAGATGGACAAGGTACAAAGAGTTTGAGTATCAAAAAATACTTGTTGTGGGACAAGCAGTTAGTGTAATGGCTGTGTCACTGGAGTCCCATGTAGTCGACTGCGGTTCAAGTCCCGGACCCGGTAGCTTAAACTCATGCCGGGCACGTGTGCATATATGCCCAAGATCCTAAGAGGAGAATGGAGGAGAAGGGATTGCGGCGTGGCCATCCCCCCTAGAGGGTGATTTCTCGCTTTCTGTCTCTCTCTGTCTTTCCGGTAAGTGCACACACCCTATAGCAAAAAACTCTCAAAACAAAACAAAACAACAACAACAAAGAAAACACTTGTTGGTACCAAGCTGATACTTCCATTAGAGGTATCTGACTTAAACAGAACGCATGTACTAGTTAGCAAAACTACATATGTGTTTAGCCTGGTACCTTATGATCCCTCTTCCAGAGATCCATCCCAAGGATGCACTAACAAAAACACAGAAGGATGAACACTGATAGCTCTTCACGCGGCTATTTGTGATACCAAAACACTAGAAACAACCCCCAAACCGTCCAGGGGGGCTGGTTGTATGCACTGTGGTTCTCATGAAAAGGCACCCTATCTACCAGAGAAAGAAACAGGGTACGGCTCTGTGCATGACACTGGAATAGTCTCTAGGATGCAACTGTTAACTAAGAAAAGTGAGAGAGGAGAAAAAAGAGTGTGAAGTATGTGATCGTTTATTTAAGACAGAGATATGCAAATATACGTGTCTACTTCTCGCTCTGTTCAAAGCCGAAGCCTACACACTACACGCTGGGTAAGTGACGGGGGTATATAACCTAAACTTCCTTGACTATATTTCATTTTGTTGATCTGACTTGAGAACTATGTAAATATTGTATTGGGTCATTGGAAAAGTCATGACACCTTCTCTCTCTCTTTTTTTTTTTTTTTTTTTTTTAGAGAGAGATTTTTGTTATAGGACGTGTGTGCTCACCGGAGAGACAGACAGAGAAACAGAAAGTGAGAAATCACCCCCCAGGGGGGATGGCCATGACAAAAATCTCTTCTCCCCCATTCTCCTCTTGGGCTTTTGGACACACATGCACATGCGCCTGGAGTGAGTTTTAAGCTGTCGGGTACAGGACTTGAACCGTGGTCGACTATGTGGAAGTTCAGTGATGTAACCATTATGCCATCTGCTGGTCCCCATGACACTTTTTTGCATAGAAAAACATAGGAAAATATGACATGACTTTTTCGACAATGCAATAGATAGTTATAAAATATAAAACCCTAAAAATCAAAAGTAAAGTGAAATAAAGGACCCTAAACATCCAGCTGGTGACATATCCACGTGGAGAGGAATTATTCCAGGTGATCTTAAAGCACAGTAAAATTGGCCTTCCATTTGGGGAGACCTTATGTAAGGGACTTGAGCTCTGGCACTTGGGGTTCCAGAGTCACCCCTCCACAGACCTGAGGGATGTCTATAATCTGAATGTCTCTCCTGGAGTGATGTCCCTAGTAATTATATTGTTGGGATTGCTATTCTGAGAACACTATAAAGCAAATGAGTTGTGGTGATAGTGTTGTCAGGAATTTGCATTTTAAGATAAAAAATGTACATATGTAAGATTAACCAAGTTAAATAAAAAGCTTGTTGTCCTGAATCAAAGTATCAGAAATAACTCACAATACAGTTTATCTTACAAAACAAACAAACAAGACTTAGGATCAGCAGGTGGCATAGGGCATAAGGCTCTGGACTCCCACCAGGCTAACTGTGGTTCAAGTCCCGGACCTGGCAGCTTGCTTTCTCATTCTACCGCCACCCCCCACCCCAGCCCTCTCTGTCTCTCTCTCTCTCTCTCTGTAGCAAATTAAAAAATAATAACAACGGTGCTTGCTTCGGCAGCACATATACTAAAATTGGAACGATACAGAGAAGATTAGCATGGAATCTGAGCAAGGATGACATGCAAATTAGTGAAGCGTTCCGTATTTAATAATAATAATAACAATGATAAAATTAAAACAAATAATTATAAAACGAAAATAAGACTCTGCCTCTGGTCACGAAAGACCAAGAAACAGTGACTGACAAGCAAGGAGCAGCCCAGCGCCTCACACTGTGGTCTCTAAGTACCATTTCCCGTGGAAACGAAGGAGAGCTCCTCGGAAAGACTGCGTCTCAAGCCTCTAGGGTAGTGCCATTCGAGAATGTTCCAGGACAATGAAGATGCTCTCACCTGCACTACCCAACTGCTAATGATCAGCTCTCTGTGGCTATTGGACATGTGAGACATGACTGGGTAACTCCAGCTTTAAAAATGTATTCATTCATTTATTTTAATTTGACCAGAGAGAGACATACACAGAGAGAGAGAGAGAGACAGAGGGAAAGTGAGAAAGCAAGCCACCAGGTCTGGAACTCGAACCATGGTTAGCCATGTGGGAGTGTCCAGCACCTTAACCACCATACCACCTGCTGGTCCCCAGTAAGTGCATTTTTTATATGAGTTACACGTAAAAATATATATATATATGTATGTCATGATTTTTCGAACAACCCAATAGAATATTCCATCTTCACTCTTATTCAGATCCCGCTTTAGGTTTTTACCACATCCAACAACACACTCCAGTTATAACTACCACGTTACATGAGGCACGAGTAAGGGACAATCCTCTATCTTCAACTAAGAATGTCAAGAGGGTGGAAGAGCAATCTGTAGCTTGAATGAGACTTGAGAAGCACTAGCAGATGACATAGTAGTTAAGGTGCTGAACTCCCACATGGCCAACTGCAGTTCGAGTCCTAGACCGGGTGGCTTCAAGTCCTAGATGCACCGGGCGCGTGTGCATGCGTGCCCAAAATCCCAAGAGGAGAATGGAGGAGAAGGGATTACGGTGTGGCCATCCCCCCTGGGGGGTGATTTCTTGCTTTCTGTCTCTCCGCTGAGTGCACACGTCCTATAGCAAAAATCTCTTCTCTTTCAAAAGAAATAAGTAAATAAATAAAAACAGACTTGAGAATCTCATCCACCAACGATATAAAATCCAGGTTGAAAGAATGATGAGTGGAGTGAGGAGAAAGACGAACAAGAAAGATTGCCCATGAGCTCTAAGTGTGAAAGGTGGGGAAGGGCACACGCATGTGCCTTCTAAGCTCTCTGCTCTTACACACGCCTGGAATTACCTAGAATTACAAAGCCGAAAACATGACTGCAGGACCAATCTCTTGCCTCTTCGTCCCCTTCTAGAACAAGAAAGGACGCAGGAGGAGAAGGACCTAGGGCCATGAGAGGTCACTTACACATGAAATACTGGAAGGCCTTGGACTTCACGAGGATATTAATTCCTGTTTGGAGAGAAGAAATGTGAAAATCAAAATCCGCATGTGAATTCCCCTACCACTGTGGGTATGTGGGCCGCCAGGGTATGTACGCCCAGGGTGAAGGAGGAAGGCCTGCTCTATGAGTGGCACTCACGCTTCAGATCCCAGACAGGGCTGCACTGACCACACCTGTCCTGGGAGAGCCTGGGCAACCCAGAGCCAAGACAGAGTAGAACAAAGCTTCGCTGAAACTTACACGGCTGCTCCCCTCGGCCTGGGATTAATGCTCCACCACCTGGCTAACCTGGAGCGCAGAGGCCATCAGAATGCCTGCAGTTAAGAGTCCCCTGGCTACAGAAGTGCTGGGACTCATACGACGTCCCCTCCTCCCTGCCACTTGGCTATCATCCCAGGGGGTGCAAAACCCTCTAAAGACGGGGCCACTGTCATTGTTAAGGGAATCAGATCCCACATGGCAACTGCACTTGGCTAACTAGCAGCCCAGGGGGTGCAAAACCCTTTAAAGACGGGGCCAGCCCTGTGGTTAAGGGAATCAGATCCCACATGGCAACTGTCATTCATATCCCGGTCCCGGAGGCCTGACAAACACACCAGGCACGTGTGCGTGGGTGCCCCAAATCCCAACAGGATGGAACAAAGGAGGAGAAGGGACTGCAGCGTGATCATGCCCCACTGCGGGGTGCTTTTTCCCTTTCCCTCTTTCTTGCTCTCTGTCTCTCTCTGGTGAGCACATGCACCCTACAGCCAAAAAAAAAAAAAAGAAATAACAGTTGGATCCGGGACCTAGCTGTGGGAGAAATCTCAAAACACTGGGTTGTTGGAAAACTCATGATGCATTTTTGCATAGAAAAACATAGATAAAATATGTCATGGGGACCAGCAGTTGGTTTAACGGCTACGTCGCTGGATTCCCATGTAGTTGACCACAGTTCAAGTCCTGGACCTGGTGGCTCAAACTCACACCAGGCATGTGTGCGTGTGTGCCCAAGATCCCGAGAGGATAATGGAGGAGAAGGGATTGCGGCGTGGTCATC